AAATAGTCTGTTAAAAAAACATGGAATTAATTGTTTCTGTATTCCTAATTTAAAGCACTTACAAATAATATTATGATACTGATACATACAACCATATTAAATGTTATTTAACCCATGCTACCACCCCAACCAAGCTTCTTAAAAGGACTTCAAAGCACATTATACAACATAAAGCAGCTTCATGAAGTGACGACCTGAATATTTTCCTACTTCCCCTATGCTTTCTCTGCACTGCTGGCATCTTTTCCCTGGTGCTAATCAAAGGGAGATATTTTTGGTCCCTCCTTCCATGCTCTGTTAATGATTTCAGTGCTGTATAATGCACCTGTCACACTCCCTGGGAATCTGGTACATCTCTGTGCAAGTGCAAATTTCAGTGGGAATGTCTGCATTTGAAAGAGTCTTGCCATAATTGATGGTATCAGCACAGCTGGTGTTAAATCACGGTGCCACCCCCAGAAACGTTTAGTTAGATTTCTCTCAAGAAGTAAGAGTGGCAGAACTGGCTACCATTTGTTTATCTAAAATTTAAAGTTCTGATCTTGTAAACCCTCCATAGATAGAACTCCTATTTGACAAGTAAGGCCCGACAAGCCCATGCAAGTTCTATGTGCTGAAATTATATGACTTAATTAGAATTGTGATTTTTTTTTTCTTACTTGGCCTTGCTTGCTAACCTAGATAAAGTAGGAAGATTCAGTATCATCCTTTAGTTTTAAAATGTCATGAAACTTGTTCCCTAAACTTGTCCTGGAAGGAAATATACCAGTCTTCAGCTAGCCAGTTAAATATATGAAGGTTGTATTAGTCAAGGAGCAAGAGATGTTCTACACCATCTGCACTGAACCCATTCTCTTGAAGAAATGCTTTATTCAGAATTAAGACACGTGAGTTTTTCATCAACCCCTGATCATTTAGCACAGAGACAAATCTATTAAGAATGGCTGAGGCTCACTTTCCTACATTTCTGAAGTACAATAGTTAACCCTTTGTGGTTTTTAGCTCTGATTTCCAAAAGCACCACAGAGCATTTAGTATGTTCTCAGTTAAACTACTGATACACTGTGTAACTTTCTGGCTTAGTGGTGTTTACCACAAAAGCCACAGAGAAATAAAACTAGAGGCACATTTTCATATTATTCCAAACCCCAGCACCGGAAAGAGACAATAGGAGTCTCTTACTTTAACACTGGTGCGCGTTCTCACAAGTGTTTTCTAGAGTTCAGTTCAAAATGAATGTCCTTAATGAAAAAAGTTCATCCCCTACATACAGAGTAGAAATGGCTCATGGGATTTCATATGGGGAGAGATGGAGAAAGACCAGACTCTCACTGTGTAAGAAATATGGTCTCAAAGGAAATGCAAAATGATCAGGATGAGTGTTGATCTCTCTTAGCAGAGGAAAAGTCTAAGGCAGGAGTGGGAAAACTTTTTGGGTAGGTGACTGCTGACCCACAGAAAAAAATAGTTGGGCGGTTACACATCACACCTGTGAGAAGCAAAAACAAAAAATCCTCACTGACATGGCCCCCAACTGAGAAAGAAAAACACTCCCCACATTTCCCTCCCCTACCAGAACCTATGGGGGAGTCCAGGCTAATAGATTTTGTGTGCTGCAGCCCCAGGGTGCGGAAGCAGGTGGGGCTGGAGCACCAGACTCCCCACTGCTGGGGGGCTCTGAGCCTTGGAGGCCAGATCCAGGCAAGCCAGAGGCCGCATCCTGCCCCCGGGACTGAGGTTCCCCATCCCTGGTCTAAGGGATCGTCTACGTAGCCAGAGCAGGGTTTAAAGTGGATTAAGTCAAATTAATCTGATTTGAAAAGGTGTACACATGACAACTTCCACATTTATCTTTAACTCAGAAGTCTTATTTCAAATTTAACTAACTTTCCTGCAGAGCAAACTCATCTGGGTCCATTGTGTGCCCACAGCATTGCTGCTTATGGATTTAGCAGTCCTCCAATAGCAGTCCAACTTTGCTTTGCAGGTGACCATCACTGACTCAGCTGTATACTTGCATGCCCTCGTATGCTTTGGGGTCAAGTTGACTAGATGCCCTGTCCCCCGTTTAAAAGCTGGCAAAAGGACCAGATGTTTCCCATTTATTCCTGAAACTGAGTATGCCATTATAACTCCAGAAGCCTTGCAACCTTCCTTGAGTGGCGGTTTGAAGCTGCACTGAGAACTTTGTATCCCATTACCTTCTGGAGAGAATCATCAGTGCAGAACATTTTTAAGCCAGCTTCCATAATAAAGTTCTGTTCACTGACATTCTCTTAGCATGAGGGTTCATGACCAGAATGCCAACTGGTGCTGGATTTTAAAAAATGAACAGCACAGGGTGACCTATACTAAAACCAAGGATGCCAGGAAGAAATCCAGCAGAAGACACATAATTTTTGATGAGCTGGACTTGATTTTTCACAAATACATGTCCCCAGAACCAAGGAATGTTATGGGGTGCTGCCTACTCTCTTCCCCACCATAAACATGGCCAGCTGTCACTGAGAAACTACCAAGAAGAGATCACCCACGAAAGCTAGGATTCCGCTAGGACTCAAGACCCAGATGCTGGCCAAGTAGAAGGACGGCCCAATTCCTGCCATTCAGCAACTCTGAATGAGACTGAGGAGTCTGATTCTAGGGAGGGATTATTAAATTATACTGTCATGCTACCTTTTATGCCAGGTGTCCCTCGCTGCAACCATTGTATACAGATGTAAGCTAGAAGCTTATCTGAGTCTGAGGTACCACTTCCCTTGGCCCATATTGTTCATTTGACTTTCCCATGCATATTTCTAAAACTGGCCTGTCTAATGCTAAAGCCCCAGCTAGTGATTGGTTTTAGGCCCACACCACACAAGGCATATGCCTTTCTACCTATTTTCCTTTCCCGTTGCCTCATCTGTCCAGCCTGGTGAATGCCCCGCCTTGCAACATTGTTCACCAGCTCAAAAGGAGGTAGAATTAGACCTGGACAGTGTATGCACATACAAGAAGTGTACTACATGATAGTATGGTAGCTTTACTGTAGAGATAGCAAAGCTCTTAATGGCTTTTTACAGGCTTACATAGAAAAAGGCTGGTAAAAAGTGAATGCTTCAGGCAATCAGTGCGCAGGACCCTACCTATTCGTCACTCCCCTTTCACCATGTCTGCAAGGGAGATAAAGCCTAAAGGGATATAGAAAGGGTTACTATCCACTCATCCTCAGCTGTCCACCAGCTGTACCTCGAATACCTTTCTATATCAAACTTACTGATTAATCGGGACATTATGTCTCTGGGATCCCACATGTTAGCATTCAATAAGGATAGCTACAGTCTTTCTGAGCACCGTCTAGGTTCCCCTACGTTAGATGAATAATACAATTCTAAGCAGAAGTTTCTAGTAGGATTTTTCCATGCTGCTTGTTTTTTAAAAAAAAATTCCCTCTGCATTTACTTAAATGTGCACTTCACTGCTGGCCCACACTGCAATAGTTGACATAATTAAAATGCCTGAACCAACTGTTACGTAATCAAATCACTGGTATATCCTCAGAAGTGTACCTCCTTGCACTGATATTCACAATAAATGAAAATGTATGCCACAGTTGATGTGCACTAATTTGTATCATTGTTAAGAAAGTTAATATTTGTAAGAAGTTTTTAGTTGAAGAAATTGTGTTATTTATACCAGGTACTAGTTCTCAGAACTACATCTATCAAAAGTCTGAAGTCTTAAGAACCAAAAATTTTAAAGTTATGAGTTTGGAAAAAGTACATGATATTTTCACAGAGTCCTGTTATTCAAAAGTGCATCTGGTGATTTCCCAGGACTTTTCAGAAGGGAAAAACAAGTCTTGTCTTTTGGCCTGAATTTCTCATGGCCAGAATTTTTTTTTAAATAAGGTTTGTAGTGGAGTAGATCTTGCAACATTAGTTAGAGTTACAGCTGATGTTCCACTGTAAAGCTAATTTCTTCCAGTCTTTTTTTAATTTGTTTCATATTTGTCATTTACATATAAGCTAGGAAGAACCAATTAACATTCAGCACTGAAAGCAATGCTCTCTGTTGAGCAAGTGACCAAGCCCCTTTGACATCTCAAGTGTAGCAGGGAGAAATGTTGATGAGAAATAAATGCTGTCTTAGCAGCAGGTTCTGTTTGCAGGGGTGGCATTTAAGCAGTAGGTATAATGTTTTCCTTAGACCTGTTGTCTACAGAGGCAAACTGTTTGTGCTAGTGGACAGTGCAATACATGTATGTGTTGACTATAGAAAGTGGTGATGCTTTCCTCTAGAATGGAGGGCCACGCTCAGCCCCCAGCAGGGCCACTGATGGGAGGGGGGCAAAGAGGGCAGTTGCTCTGGGGCCTGGCACTTGAAAAGGGTCTGGGGCTCTAGACCTTTAAATCGCTGCCATACCACCGGGAGCTCTGTCCAGGAAGCACTGAGGGCTGGCCCCACCCCTTCCAGGGAACCTCAAGCTGAGCATCTACCACCATGTTGCCTAGGGCCTGGTGACATCTATCCCTGCTCTGGCCCATGGACACCCTCTAGTTCAATATGGTGGTGTGACACAGAGAATAATGAATACAACAGGGCACAACTCAGGTCCATTATATCTCCTTTATGACTGTGAACGTCTTCTATAGGTTAATCAGCAATGAAGACCATAGCTGTCAAGCAATTCCTATGTATCTAGCAAGGAGGAAGCAAATGCAGGCAGCTGGTATTTATTTTTTGAGGACACTGTTCAAGTAATTCATATTCAATTGACACCACTCAGACTCACAATTGTGGGTAACAGTTGCTGGCATAAAAAAGAGGCTGAGTATTGTGCCCTCTGTTTTTGGGCAAATTGCATTTGTGGTTCTTAGTACTGCAGAACATTTGCTGTCCTATCCTAGAACAATGATTATGGGAAGACTATTAAACGTTAGTACATTTCAATTAGACATAGTTGTGTTTGGTGATGTTAGCAGATGTCTGACTGGTCTGTGTTTCATTTACTCTAGATAATTGATAAAAGCAAACGAGACCCCTCTGAAGAAATTGAGATTCTCTTGAGGTACGGGCAACATCCAAACATCATTACTCTGAAAGATGTGAGTAGTCTATGAGCTCTTTCAACAATTCTCCTTTTGATATCAAGCATACCTGCTCTGTAACTGACAAACTGTTTTAAATTTTCAGTCATTTTAATTTTAAAATGAGAGCCATTTGACTCCCAGAAAAAAAAAATGTTAATTGAAAGATTGTTAGACACAAAAATGACAAGATTAGCAAACCACATAGTGAACAAATCCAGTTTGACCAAGTAGTTAAAAGCATACATGAAAGGACCCATAAAGCTAGATACAATAGAAATAAATTTGATTTTTAAAAGACTTTTCATAGTAAAAATCTTTGTGCGCTTTTTAAAATAGATTGTTGAAACCTAGTCATGAAGGTCCTGTAGATAGTTGTTCTTGTTATGACGGGTTCAGTAACTGTTAACAATCCGTCTCTCAATAAAACAGGTACTTGACATTGTCTGTTACTTAGGCAAGTAGGGCTTCTCATGTTTTTTTCTTGGGTGCTAGAAAGTCTGTCTTGCAAGTGAGCAACCAAAAAAGACAAGAAGAAGAGACCTTATTTTAACATTTAATATTAAAGACAATATCTAAGCCCTTGTCTATGCTACAGAACTTCAGCAAAGATACTCCTACCCTCCCTCCCCCACCTCTCAGCTACATTGAAGGCAGCACTAACCAGAGCGCTAGTGACACAATGACTTCTGGTACTGTTGTCTGTCTTCTGTGAGCAGGTTGAATCAACAAGATATACAAATGTTGAAAACTGCCTGAGTCTTCTCAACACTAAGAATCCAACTGGTAGCATCCCTGTTAGAAAATGTTCTTGCTAAAATCCCCTTTATATAGATAATGCCTCACAAATTGCAATAAAGGGAAAAGGGGAAGCCTGCTTCTGGGTTGTGATATGCTCTTGAGCGGTTGACTTAAAGAAAATACACCTCTGAGAGCTCATTTGTGTTCAAGTTCCTGAAGTATTGAATTTACAAAGCTCAGAACCCTTGTTTTCAGTGGAAGATGGGAAGCTGTGAAAAAGTGTGATCACGTAGCCTTCCAAAACTTCAAGTAATAAAATGACATTCTCTGGCTCTCCACTGTTTCCTCCATTCCAAGAATTGGAGAACGTTAAGGGGGACAGACACAGGGTAGTGTGTATTTATCCAAAAACTGCAGAAATTGGGAATGATCTAGTGAGAGACTGGGTGCTCAGGGATTAGTCATGAGCATGGTATAAGAACACAGAGTTCTCTCCAAGCCCAGAATGTTAATGCTTCTAAAATGCTGGCACTTTGCATGTGCGTATCTTACTGACTGTTAGGAGATTGCATATAGATCTTGTTGGGGTTTTCCTGATGCTTCTTCCACTACTTCCCCAAGAACTCAGATTCCAGACACTATGTAATTTCCTCTCACGCTGTGACAGGAAGGGGAATGGCAAGTAGTATCCTTTTACAAATCTAGGGGGCTGGGCTTGAGTCCTTCCCCCCCCCCCTCTAAATGAGGTCTGGAGGGAAGCCTTGGAGTGGGGACAGTCCTGGATCAGTGGGAGAGCGCACCCACAGCTCGACCCTGTAACTTGCCTGCCTGCTGCTCAGTGTGGCAGTCTGCACAAAGCACTAGGACTGCACTGTGCCGTTTCCTCCAACTGAATGACACCTCTTTCTTGCCAGAGTGGCACACTAGCTTACTTTGATCTCTGCCCACCACACATAGTCCCCATAAAGATCTTATCCTAATCCTTAATAGGTGCCTTAGAACTGGAAGCATGAGGATTTGTATCTCCTTCAAAAAAGTTTAGCATTGACAGTACTGGATATTCGTGTCCATATAAATGTCCAATCTATCAAAGGGATATGAAGTTAAAATTGCTATATTCTCATTTGGACAAAAATTTTTTTTTTTTCGGTACACTGTTGACATGAAAATGTAAACCTACATTGCAGCTGACCCAAACAGCTTATTCACCAGAACAGCAGAGCACATTGGCTGTGTCTAGACTGGCAAGTTTTTCCACAAAAGCAGCTGCTTTTGTGGAAAAACTTGCCAGTCTAGACACAGCCAATGTGCTCTGCTGTTCTGGTGAATAAGCTGTTTGGGTCAGCTGCAATGTAGGTTTACATTTTCATGTCAACAGTGTACCGAAAAAAAAAAAATTTTTGTCCAAATGAGAATATAGCAATTTTAACTTCATATCCCTTTGATAGATTGGACATTTATATGGACACGAATATCCAGTACTGTCAATGCTAAACTTTTTTGAAGGAGATACAAATCCTCATGCTTCCAGTTCTAAGGCACCTATTAAGGATTAGGATACTGTACATCATATCATGTAAAGTAAGTAAGTATTGGCTAAACACGATACAGGTTTTTTGTCTGCTCGTGAGACAAAAGACAAATACTGATATTTAAAAATGCAAGGGCTACCCTGTAGAACTGAAAGAGAGCAAATGATTGGGAGGAAGTTTGGGCTAATATCAGAAAAGATTTCATGCCGCATTTGATGACATTGTTTCTTCAGCTTGGTTTAATATTTTGCAGATTAGACAGCAAATTATGAAACTGGCTTTCTATGCAGATCAAGTTAGGATGAATAATTGCTTCAGAGATGAGAAGTAATTATTAACCCCCTTTGCATGACATTAAAAAAAAGAGCTAATACAGGAAAATTTAATTTTATGCTCCTTGCAGAGGCGGATATAGGGCAGGGCGAATGGGGCAGCCGCCCCGGGCCCCACGCTTCAGAAAGCCCCGTGCATGCGCCGTGGCAAAGGGGGGCCCCGCAGAATTATGCTGCCCGGGGCCCCGCAAGACGGTCATCTGCCCCTGGCTCCTTGTATTTAAAAAAAATGAACTTTTTACATTGTTTTAAATATAAGAAGCATAAAATCCATTTTTCCTTTTACTTCTGTTTCCTTGTTGTAGTAACACAACAAAATATTGCAGAATGATCATTAATTGCTAGTCTAATGTATCAATGATATGATTGTTTCCCATGCTCTTCTAGGTGTATGATGATGGGAAATATGTGTACCTGGTTATGGAGCTGATGCGAGGAGGAGAACTCTTAGACCGAATCCTTCGACAAAAGTGTTTCTCAGAGCGAGAGGCTAGTGCTGTCCTTTGCACCATTACCAAGACTGTGGACTATCTGCATTCACAAGGAGTAAGTATTATTACCTCTGTTCTCCATCTCAACCTTAGTAAAAACTGAAAAGTAGCTTTGATACTACTTCTCGGGAAATAAATATTAAATGGGAGAGTTTGCCCAAAATGAACATTCAAAAGGTAAAAAAAAATTGAAAAGGGTTAAATGTTTTAATATTTAATAATTACATTTAAAAGTGAGCATTTTCAGTTTGTGAAACAGGATCAAAGCACTCCTGCCATTCGAGGCCAAAAACTTCATTTATGTAAAGCCTTTCACCTCAAGGATTCTAATTTTCAAATCTATGTGGACATTATTTCTTCATACCACAATCATTGTAGAATCTAAAGCAACATTTGGGAAAATATGAGCTCTTCAATAAAAAATCCAAATCAGAGTCAGGGTTTTTATAGTATTAGTCATATAACTTTTGAACTTTGAGCTGTCTACATAGAGCATTTTGAAGTACTTTCCTTTGCCATTTGTCTGGGGAATGCAACATTTTGGACGGACCTGAATATTACCTTTTCCTTCTTGCAATCATACCCAGGATGAGTTCATTTTGTACAAAGATGGATACATTTGCGTAACAGTTTTGCTTGACCAACATAAATCATATTTATTTGTTCTTGGCTGAAACTCAGCCATTTCTAGTGAAACACAGCACACCAAGTCTACACAAAAGATTTTTAGAAAGGAAAACGAAGAAAAATGAAAAATGTCTTTCTTTACTTGAGGCACTCACATTAAGAGCACCCAGAGGAAGAGCTTCACTCTCAAATGACTTCTCACTTTTCTTTATGTATTGAAGTATTAAAACATTTCAAGAGCTTCCTCTACTTTAAGAGGGATGCATTTTATTTGTTTAGTAATCCCTTCTGCCAACCTACAATATAATCCTCTCCACTGGAATATCTGCCTCCCTCTTGTCTATCAGTAGAGGATGCAATTTGTATTATTTCTGATTTTAACAGAGACGTGCAATTCTGTATCCATGCTCACTTTAAAAAAAAAAAAAAAAAGTAGCATTCTTCAAAGGCCAAATCTTTCAAGTCAGGAACTCTTCCCCCCCTTCCTCCAAACACACATACTTGCCACGATCTGGAAACATGTCTAATGGTAACCAAGCCTACAAACTGTATAATGTTATTTATTTTTCATTTGTTTCCCATAAAGGTTGTGCATAGAGATCTGAAGCCCAGTAATATTCTCTACATGGATGAGTCAGGAAACCCAGATTCCATCAGGATCTGTGACTTTGGATTTGCCAAACAGCTGAGAGCAGAGAATGGCCTGCTCATGACACCTTGCTACACAGCCAACTTCGTAGCCCCTGAGGTAGGATTGTGTTTCATAAACATTTTTATAACAAAAAACACGTGCCTGTCCTTGTTCTTCCTTTCTCTCACGGCCTTTAAAAAAAGGAATAAAACAGGAATTAGAAGAGAGATAAGCTTCAGATGCCTTGTCCTATGTCCTATCACTCCAGGTTGGTTAGCTTTTCCCTTGTCCCTACTGCCTATAGCCATGTCTAGTGGGGACTTACCTAGCCTGAAGTAATGAGCCAAAGTGGCAACTAAGTATCTCTTTTTCCTCCAGCTGATTCACCTATGAGGTCAGAAGTTGGTTTCCCATTCAGTGTGCCTCATCCAAGCAAATTTAGTCTCAGACAAAGTATATTGAAACCAAGATTAATTAAGAATCTAAAGAAAAAAAAAATTGGAATAAAATCCTGGCCCCACTGACGTCAAGGGGAGTTTTGCTAATGGCTTAATTGGTTCTATGAATTCAGGAGTTGAAAAAAAAAATACAGCCCACAAAACATCTTGGGTCTTGAGTGCATCAAATGGTAATCCAAACAGATAGGATCTGTGTGGTTATGGTGAAGATGACAAAAGGTGTTACAGGTGTAGTGAACTCTCCTTACCTAAGTTTAGTCCATCCTGCTCTTACCCTTTATGTGAAATGATGACTGAATTCCTTCTTTGCCTAATCACATCTCCCATCTGGGACAGTTTTTGGAACTGTGCATGGAGTGAGATACTGAAATCCATGGGGCTACTCTTAGAGGAACATGCTATTGAATGTGAGGAAGGCCCTTTATCTGTGGTACTGATATGCCCCTGTACCTGAGCACCTCCAGTTTTTAAATGTATTGTATCCTTACAACACCACCTCGGTGAAGCAGAGAAATGCCATTATCCTTAGCACTTGCAGATGGGGAACTGAAGCAGAGATAAGTCAACTGACTTTAACAAGGTCACAGAAACTGGATCCCCCTAGTTCCAGGTTATCACTAACCTAAGCGAGTTTTCTTCCTCTTTATTCCCCTAACCTTGTTTTAACCATGGCTCTGGCTTTGATTCCCCTACCTGTTTGGACTGTTTTGGCTGCCCACTGTGACTGAGGACTTGAAACTCATATTGGTCCTTCTATGAAGCATCAACAAGTTTATTTCCTGGATGACTGTTAGTTGTTTGTTACTCTCATGTTTACTTTTATGGGCAGGATCTCTGTGGTCCAGCACTCTCGGGACATGAGCAGTCCTGAACCATGGAGTTTGCCAACCAGGGGAGGTCAAGGCTTCTCTCCCGGCTTTTGGCCCTTCTCCCCAGTTGCAGCCTTGGCCACTGCACTCCCCGCTATACCAAACATGCCCTTAGCCAGGCTTACTCCTGAACCTGACCAGCCGGGACTCTTTGGTCCAGCAGCAATATCAGTGGTCCTGCCAGACAATGGATGTTGCCAAACCAGAGAGTCCTGGATTTCACAGGTTTAACCTATAATATATTCAGAGACTTGAATAAACAACTCTGTTTGTCTACCTTTGCTGGTTACTACCAAATAACAGAAAACAGAATGATTATAGATCATAAAACATATCATTCCACTATCAAATACCATTTCTTCCCTCAGACAGTATGCAACTCTCAACTTACTTTGTCTCCTAAGTAAGTAAATCTCCAGCCCAAAAAAGTAGCAACTTGGCATTAGTCTAGAACTATAAAGTACGTGGATCATCTTGGTGAAGATAATACTTTTAGGAAGTTTTTAAACATTTGGATATATGCCCCTAATTCTCAAAAAGTGACTTGTTTAATTGACATCTCATTGTTACATGATGTAGCTCAATAGGTTAGACACAAAGCCATGTTCCAGGACACACATCACAACCACGACCAATGTATAAAAATGCAGATATCTTATTAACTCTTCCATGATCAAATTAGAGTGGTCAGTTATTTTGTTCCTATTTGGTCTAGTTTTCCACTCTGGAAAGTGGAAATAGCTCTTTAAATATCAGAGGAAAAAATGATATTTAAAGCCCCATGTTTCCGGCTGGTCGCCATTTTAGAAATTGACTAGCCCAAAGTAACTGCCCATGTCTACACGCGGCAGTGAAACGGGATTCCGGAATAAAGTCCCTAAATCGAATTAAGTGGTATTCCTCATGGAATGAGGTTTACCACATAATTCGATTTAGGGGCTTTATTCCAGAATCCCGTTTCGCTGCCGCGTGTAGACATGGACAGTTACTTTAGGCTAGTCAATTTCTAAAATGGCGACCGGCCGGAAACATGCAAATCAAGCTCAGGATATTTAAATCCCAGGCTTGATTTGCAATTCCAGTCGCCCTTACTAGCCTCCCTAGATCGATCTAGGGGGCTAGTGTAGACGTACCCTGAGAGATTAGACTTTAGTTAGCTGAATTCCGATCAGTTATCATTCTCAAAGAGAGTCAAGCAAGTCCTCTTAATGCAGGAAACATTAAGAATCTGTTGAAACATTGTCATAACTGACAGCTCACATGAAAGCCTTATGTGCTGCTTCTATATTTTCCCTATGATATAATGCTGTCCTTCAACTCAGATTTGTCTTTTACTGTGTCAGTGCAACTCTCTTCTGCAGTCATTTCCTCTAGTGTGCCTGTGAAACTCAATAGGAAGTTAGGAAGGAGATTGAGCGTATGATGCAGGAGGAAGATAGCAGAGGTCTAATGGGAGTTTTGCTTATATAAATCTCTTTATTTTGGAAACCATTTAATTTTTGGTATTAGATGCTAATGTGGCTATTGCGGCATAAAATATCATAGATAGCAAAAGATGCCTAAGAGGAAGAACCAACATGCCACCTAGTGGGAGCAGTGCTCTGTAAAGAATAAATAGCATGGGTCAGTCAGGAATAAAAGCACAGGTACCATGCATTATGGGGCAAGTAAAGTAAGGAGCCTTCATTCTTCAAAATTCAACCAAACTTTGGACAGACTGATTTTTAGCATGCAAGGATATAAGAATTTATTTTTTCTGTTCTTGTATGTGCCCTAGTTCCCACGACAACTAGAAGCAAAAATGTTCAAGTACCAGAGAGCGCCTATTTTCACAATATTTTACCCCAATAATGCAAAATCTAAAAGTTAGATGATTTTGGATACACTTCTAGGTGGGTGTCAGAAATCAAGTGAAGTTTACTCATCGCTACAAATTACTTGTAGTATTCTGACGTAAGAAATATAATATATGTATGTTGGAAACCTCATTCTGTTCCTTTGGTGATCTCAGCTCTTACATATGTAACAGGTTCTCTGATTTCCATGGGGACAGACTAGCATACCTTCTCCTGTAAAGAAAGCACTAGCAAAAAAGACTTCTGTGGAAGTTGTCAAAAAGAACTAATATCCAATTTCAGTTAAGATGCTTATTATTTATTATAGTTGTGACTAGAAACCCCATTGTCCTAGTCACTGTACAAACATAGGCATTGTCTGTTCTAGGCCTTATCAAAAATGTCCCACACTGCTGTCATCTGAGTTTCACCAGTGGGAGCTGGAGCATACACGAAGCACTAGTGGCTGCTGGCACTTGATTCACTGTGTTGTTGTAGATCTTTTCTAGACATGATGCTTAAAACATCATGCCTGGTAGTTCTAGCTAGCCCTCCCACCATTGTTGCCACTGCCCCAAATGCCCTATTGTATCCCAAACAGTCTGAGTAATTGCACGCCTACTTTTTCCAGATTCCCTACAGGATATGTTTGCACAAGGGTGGGTTTTGCACCACAAAGTATGTAGATTTTCTGCCTAATTATCAGGTCTGCAGCCTCCAAAATAGATACATTTTTTAAGCGACTGTGGAACCTCTCAGTTTTATTTCATGTAGCTGTAAAAATCAGTGACATGAACTATTAAAATTATTCTGGAAGCTAATACACACCCTAACAGCTGTTCTTATTTTACTAGATGTTAAAATAGTCATAATACAGTAGTCAGCCAGCACAGTCAAAGCAAATATACTTTTAAGCTCTTTAGAATTGTGTCTAATCTATTTGTCCCCACGTCATAACTGTCTTGTGTAAGGTAACTTTTTCCAAAATAGCCGATGCACACTCAGCACATCCGTCAGATGCAGAAAATGTTTTGCCAGGTCATGGATATTTGCTAGTGTACCTAGTCAGGACTTTCTGAAGCCATTTTTTGTCCATAGATTCGAAGGATAGTAGAGACTGTTGTGATTATCTAAACTGACTTCTTGTCAAACACAGACCATAGAACTCCCTGCCCTCCCCCCCCAAAAAAAAAACCCTAGAGGAGATCTTTTAGAAAAAGGTTCAATGTTGATTTTAAAATCAAGAATCCACCATGTAGATGCATGTAGAAGTTAACTGACGAGACCAAGCTCATCAGTTAACCATGTACAGGTTAACATCCCTACTGTATACCTTATCCATCATGGAACCCACTTCAAGCCACGGGATCCCACAGCACCCTTTGCATTTAGTTTCAGCTCCTATGCTCCAAAATCTGCAGCATAACATTTCTCACTTGTTAGCTCACATAAGGTAAAACTATCACAACTTGGTCTAATACAGTGTAATGCCCACTTGTCACATTCCACAAGAGAGCCTAGGAAGTAGCATGTACAGGTAAGGGCACCATTTATGGGGGACTAGGGGGGCAGTAGCTCCCCCTCCTGAGTTTGAACACTTGGATTTCATACTTGAGGTCTGCTTAAAACCCATGTCCTGACTCCAGAAGCAGTTCTTAAATTCAAGAGGCAAGGAGTTTGTAATAAAAGAGGGAGGCAGGGTGATAAACAACAACAAAAGGCTGGACATTCAGGTAATTGAAGGATTGTTAGAGTATGAAAACGTTTCTGGGTACTCCACTTAAAAGATGGGGGGTGTGGGGAATGTAGGAATGAGTGTTGTGCTGTCAAGATCTCCAGCAGTTGGACCACAGGGGTTAAACTTCTCATAAGTGTGCTTGAAAGAGGGGTGAACAGTGACTAATCCAAAGCTGACTGCCAAGAGTTACAAAGGGATCTCACAAAACTGGGTGATTGGGAAACACAGGGGGAGATGGGCTGTTACCACTCAAGAAGAGATCTTGGAACCCTTTTGCATAGTTTCCTGAAAACATCTGTTCAATGTGCAGTGGCAGGTCTAAAAACCCATAAGCTAACAGAATATTGGGAATCATTAAGAAAGGAATAGAAAAGACAAAATACCATATTGCCTCTATACAAAGTCATTGTTTGCCCACATCTTGAATACTGTCTGCAAATCTGGTCATCCCATCTAAAAAGGTACAGAAAGGGCAACAGAAATGATTAGGGCTAGAGAACAGCTTCCATATGAGGAACGATTCAAAAGACTGGGACTTTTCAGCTTGGAAAATAAATGACTAAAAAGTGGGGGGATATGTTAGAAGTCTAGAAAGGCAGAATAAGGAAATGTTATTCATTCCTTCACTAATATAACACAAGATGACAACCCAATTAAATGTATACGCAGAAGATTTAAAACAAATAAAATAGGCAACTGGGGATGGATCATGATGATTGTCTTTTCTGTTTATTCCTTCTGAAGCACCTGGCATTGGCCACTGTTGCAAAACAGGATACAAGCCTAGAAAGACCAGTGGCCTGACCCAGTATGGCCATTCTGATGCTCTTATATAAATCTGAAATGTATCTGCCTTCTGCTGTAACCCACCAGACCCCACTCTCCTTCCAGAGCTGATACGCAGTCCAGGAGTCCTAATGGAGTTGGTGGCTCTCTCCAGAGTTAGGAACAAAGTAAAAATATATATTTAATTTTTAAAGCTAACCAGTGTCCCTTAAGTAACTTGCCACAAGATGTCAGGATATGCTAGTGTTGAACTTAGTGGGTCTAATATTTATTTAATGTTCTTTCTTTTATATGGGAATTTGATGCAGTGCTCCTGTCAGATAACTGCTAAGTTGTCTGCCAAAAAAGTAGTGCCTTAGTAGCCCCGGGATAGAGATGATGTGGGGGGGAGGGCAGATGGGGTGGGTTCTCCCCATTTGGTTCTTGGCTTTTACTGAGGATGCTCAGTAACACTGCTGTAGCCTCTGTCCTCGGTCCATTCTCCTCATGCTCTCCCTCTTTTCTGCCCCCTGCCTATCATGGCATGCACAGGTTGCCCCACCCCCATAACAAAATTTGAAATGGCACCCATGTACAGGCTGAACCTCTCTAGCCTGCCACCCTCAGGACCTGACCAGTACCAAACCAGATAATTTGCTAGACCATGGAAGGTCAATATTGTCTGCAGCATTACCAACGCTTCCACTGCTTAATGGGTTCTTAGAGGACATTGAGGAGTAAATTAGAGCTAAATAATAGCACAGAACACTGAGAGCCAGGACCGGTGGCGGTAAATGAACTTTATGGGACCTCTAGAAACTTTGCCACACCCATGATAAGTGCTAACTATAATCATGCTGGACCACGGATGCTGCCAGGCCAGAGCCTGATTTCCTTTCTCCTTCATGCACTACCTGCTAGACACAAGTTATTTGGTTACTGATATAAAATGAATATTGCTATGTGACCTCCAATTCTAGGGTCACTTTATCTCCTTGCTGTAATTTCAGAAGCTTTCACATCCTTATTTTCCAGTGTTCTTATGTAAAAATGCCAGTGATGCGAAGTCATATGTACAAATACTTGATGTGCACAAAGTTAGTAAGAGCGGGTGAACAAACTGGGTATTGGTCTGAAAATGACGTATCAAGTGTTTTATACCTTAGTTGTGCACACAGAACTGGTAACTGCATATGAATTTGTACATTGACCTTTTCAACAGTCAAACCCTTAAAACCCAATTTGTGTAATGCCATTTTACACTGTTCTGGCCACTTAAAGGGATCTCATGTGCCTCATGTAAGCCCCCCTTCATTCTGCCAGAGCAACACATAGTTAAATTAGACTGTTTTTTAAATGTCCAGAATCATTTTAACTAAACTCTGTTGAGAAGCTCACATTTGCTTCAATAGTAAATTTAAGAATGTGTTTTGGTCTTGTTATTGCTTTCTTTTGTGATTTTCTTGCATATCATGGGGTAACTATAACTTGAGTTAATGTTCAAAGTATTTATATATTTTCTCTGTGTGTGAGAATAATTGCTTGTATTGTTCCCTTTAAAAAAATCTGCCTCCCCCACCACACACACTTCCCAGTTTCTCCATCTTATTTGGCTTCTTTAGAGTTGCTTGTCTAGGACCAGCTAAATAGATTATTATTTTCAACAAAATGGTAAATGTAGCCCCTTGTAATCATCCAGCTGCCCACACAAACAATTGCTGACTGTTTTGCTTCCTGAGGCAACTTCCTGTTCTACCTGTAAGTTAGAGCAAACCTTGTAAAACGTGAAAGCACTGCTATAACAGCCACATTTTCCTGAAGTTCAGAATCCACGAGCATGAATTAACCTTGTCTCTTGATTTCCTTATGTAGGTCTTGAAACGACAAGGTTATGATGCTGCTTGTGACATCTGGAGCTTAGGGATCCTGCTGTACACCATGTTGGCAGGGTAAGTATGCAGCTATAAATATCAATGGTCTCTGGTGGAGATAGTTCAACACTGATTAAAGCCATGAACAAGTTATGGATAAACACAAATTACATTGTGTTTTGAGAAATTATACCAATTGAAATTTTGATCCTATGTGTCTGGTGTAGGAGTAGTCTGTTAAGAGCCAGGTCCTGTTCACCTTATTCATTTCATTACATTTCAGTTTTAAGGTGTGTTCTTTCTATTCAGGTTTTTGTATTGTGCACATCACCATAGTACTTAGTGCCTGTGAAAAGAGGATTTTTCAGATGCAGTTTGAAAGATAGATGGAGGCACAATAGGAAGTTTTCTTCTGATGGCAAGATTTGCAAAGGTGGCAGCTCTCGTACCAGCAATAAGATTGCAGAAAGGAACAGCTGGGTCAAGGGAACAGAGGTACAGATGTGGTGGTGAAGATTAAAGACGGTCGTAAGACAGCTCAGAGGAAGAAGGCAGATTGAAAGGAGTAGGGAGGGCTGAGAATGAAGAGTTGGTTTGAATCTGAAACTCAGTGTGAAATTCATAGAGCACAAACCAGAAACAAAAATTGACAAACCACTTGCAAACTGAAAATATTTCTGAGGGCTCTAGCAGAGGAATTTCTGGATTAGAATTCATGCTCATTTGTCATATCTAATCTCTGGTTAAATCTTTGCAATGGCCCTAAAAAAAACCCACAACCTTATATCAGGTTCTTTCTAGTTTAGTGGAAAAGAACTTTAAATTCCTTCCTCAGATTTGTATGGAAAACACACACAGTCATTCATATTGCTTGTTTCATCCATTACACACACAAAAATGCCAGCACTTCCAATACTGGCTATTTAGTTTCTGAACAATTCTGATTGCTACTGAGCTACACATGTTAAGACACCTGAAGAATAATGTGCAAAGCCTGGCAGACCTGCACTGCAAGTTAGTGTCTGCTCTGAACTGAAGCAGTGTTTTACAGTACTTTGACTTCACTGTGGACTCTGAAAAAGTTAATACCACAGATTTACAGCAGTACATGGCAAAAGGAGATAAGGGCTTTAAAGACTATGCATTACCTGTGATCAATTAGATTAACCTCTTTTTTAAAATGTAATCCTGAAAAGAAAATCTGAATAGCTCTTAGACAATTTCACTTGCTCTTTGGCCAGGAGCTTGCTCTCAAAGCTGGGACGTGGCAGCATGCAATTCCAAAGCTTAACAAAAAAACAAAAAAAAGCCACACACACTCAGGGGCCTTTATTATAAATGTTTTGTGTCTGGATATGTTGGGCTTGCAGGAGATTTTCCTTCACAAATTGTCTCACCCATTTGAGGTACTCCTGCATTTGTTGGAGCTGCTGTAACATTATTTGAGAGCATGACTACTGCTCTTCTACCATATATTTTAAGGTGATCCATGATTCCTCAAGGCTGTCGGCTATATAACATTTCAAAAGATGAGAGGACTGTTGAGGTCTGGGGCATCTCTTGTACTCCAAAGAGGAGGAGATAGCTTAGAGGTGGTGAGACAGGCTTATCATAACTAATCACCTGTGATTTATTTTGCCATCATTATGACTATAAAAAGCCCACCTTTCCCATTTTCTTATTTTTTTTTTTTTAAGTTGCAGGTTTTTCTGCTTCCTTTTTTGTTTTCGCTCCTGCCTTAGTCATAATTCCACTACTTCTCCAATCAAAGTCCTGAATTTTTAATGTTAAAAAAAAGGAGGAAAAATCCCACTTATAAAAAATCCCACTTATAAAAAAGGGTTTTTTTAAGTAAAAAAAACCAACAAGAGGGGAACTAAGTTGCATTTCTTTTTTCTATGCGGGATAACTTATAGGGGATAGTACAGCATTTAGCCATGAGGAACTCACCATAGCTGAATAAAAATTAAAGGACTGTCTGCAGTCTTTCTTTTAGATTAAACACCTAATGATCTCAGTGGACTGCAGAACCAGGTCCTATCAGGTAGGCCTAAAAATCTGCAATACAAGAAGATATGACTTTTACTGTAAAAAAGGTTGTTTCTTTCACAGATTCACCCCTTTTGCAAATGGACCAGATGACACCCCAGAAGAGATACTGGCCAGGATTGGCAGCGGGAAGTATGCCCTTGCAGGAGGAAACTGGGATTCAATATCTGATGCTGCCAAGGTCAGCAGATTTTTGGGTTTTATCCTGCTTTCCAAAAAGGGGTAATTCTGCAAGATGTAAGATTATTTCTAAGCAAGAGGAGATGAAATCAACAGCTGTATTAGTTCAATAAATTCTATTTTCATAAGAACTGTGTATCAGAATGGTTGTGTGGCTAGTTATTTTATGAATTTCTGTATCCTGTTTCAGGAATGTAAGATGGAATACAGTAGAACACAAATGAAATGTAACCAAATCCACAAATGTTCAGTTTAATTATGGGTCACTCTGTGATCCTTAAAAGTAAACCCTATAAAAAGACAACCCATAAAATAATCTTTTAACATTCATCTAGCTATGTTTGTTTCATGGTTATGTATTCACAACACTTGGCTTTTGTGTAGTGCCTTTCAATCAAGTCTCTCAGTTGCCTTTACAATTTCCCTGTCACTTGTGAGGAACATAAATATATCTGTCTTTTTAAAAACAGATGAGAAAAGTGCAGCACAAAGTGATTATGGCCAAAGTCTTCACAAATGGCCACTAATTTTGGATATCTAAATTTGTGTGGCTTTCAGAGGTGCTGAGCACCCACAGCTCCTTTTGACCTCATTTGAAGTAGCAAGCATTCAGCCCCCACCTACTTCTAAATCAGAACCAAAGTGTCTAAAATGGGCACCCATTTCTCCAAGTACTGGACACTTGTGTACATTTTGGCCACAGTGACTTGCCCAAAGTCACATAAGAAGTCTGTGGAAGATCTGGAATTAGAACAAGGATCTCGTGAGGCTTTGTTCATTTCTCTTGTATAGAGTTTAAGGCCAAAAGGGATCATTTCTTTGTCTCGGTTTTCATCAAGATGGTGACGGGATGCCTAACATAGTGAATGCTAGTGGAAATGGGGCAGGTTTAGAAGTTATAATAAAAGAACAAAGTTAAAAATTACTTACAAAAGTTAGATGTCTGCAAGTCACCAGGGCCTGATGAAATGCATCCTAGAATACTCAGGGAGCTAATTGAGGAGGTATCTAAGCCTTTAGCTATAATCTTTGAAAAAATCATGGAAGTTGGGAGAGATTCCAGAAGACTGGAAAAAGGCAAATATAGTGCCCATCTATAAAAAGGGAAATAAGAACAACCCAGGAAACTACAGACCAGTCAGATTAACTTCTGTGCCAGGGGAGATGATGGAGCAGGTAATTAATTCATCTGCAAGCATCTGGAAGATAATAAAGTGATAGATAACAGCCAGCAGGGATTTGTAAAGAACAAATCATGTCAAATAAATCTGGTAGCTTTCTTTGATAGGATAACAAGTCTTGTGGATAAGGGAGAACCGGTGGACATGATATATTTAGACTTTAGTAAGGCATGAAAGTCTCGCATGATCTTCTTATCAATAAACTAGGGAAATATAACCTAGATGGGGCTACTATAAGGTGGGTGCATAACTGGCTGGGGAACCGTTCTCAGAGACTTTAAGGTCAGAAGGGACCATTATGATCATCTAGTCTGACCCCCTGCACAATGCAGGCCACAGAATCTCACCCACCCCCTCCTAGAATAATCCTCTCACCTATATCTCAGATATTGAAGCCCTCAAATAGTTTGAAGACCCCAAGATGCAGAGAATCCTCCAGCTGTGATCTGTTCCCCATGCTACAAAGGAAGGCGAAAAACCTCCAGGGCCTCTAAAAAAAACCTCCAGTAGGACTCAGTCCCACAGAGTATCCCCCCCCCCCCCCCCATTCAGTTTACCTTCTACCCTGTTTCCTGGTACAGGCTGACTTTCTTCTCTGGCAACATCTGTGGTCTGGCAGGACCGTGAACATTGTTGAACAAGAGAGCCCCAGGGCAGGAGGGCCAGAAGCTAAAAACCCCATGAAAGGCGAGGTTGATGGTAGCGGGGCCAGAGCCACAGCAGATAAGCCGCAGTAGCAGAGCCGTGGTAGTGGGGTTGTGCCATGGAAGCCCAAGCAGGACTGGATGCCAGCCCAGTAGTGGGGACAGAGCTATGGCAGCCTGGCTGGCAGTAAGGCTGGTCTGTGGCAGCCCAGCAGGGGAAATCTGTCTCAGGCTGCATGCTGGCCAGCAGTGGGACTGGGGCCACGGCAGCGGGGCCAATGCTGCGTGCTGCCGTGGCGCTGAAGCAGCAATTATGGTAGTGGGGCTTAAGTCTCAAGGGTGCTGGACCAGAGAGGTCTAGCCTATACATATTGTTTACCATCAGTCAGGACAGCTTCAGGAGCAGCATGACTCAGTCATCTCCTCCTTGGCTGGATTCCCTCTTTTACCCCATCCCTATGCAGAGCAACTTCTTCCTTCCCCTTATGGTGAGGAGTTTCCCCCATTTAAGCTCTTGATGTTCCAGGCCGCACAAGCCTGGCAGGTGTATCTTGTTGGCATGGAACAAACCCAGAGGAACTCATTATCCTCCTGAATATCAGGATGAGGGCAACCCTTCACACTGCCCTATATTCATTATTTTCCTTTCCACCAATCTCCACCTTTTACACTAATTTTATCAGTTGTGATTTTATAGTTACTCCTCGATCATTCAAGGAAGTGTGAGTAGTTCCAGACCTAAAGCCATTCCCAATTCAGTGACTCCTCAATGACAACTACTTTGAGTTCTGTCAGACAGTTCTTGAGCCACTTAGCTCTGAAGAAGAGCTCTATGTAAACTCAAAAGCTTGTCTCTCTCATCAACAGATGTTGGTTCAATCCAAGATAATACCTCACCCATATCGACATGGTAATATCCTGTGACTAACACTGCTGCAGCGCCCCCCTCATACAAACATTACTGTAACAATATGTCAGGACAACATAACGGGTTAAACTGAACTCTGAAAGAGATTTATAAATTAGAAGCTTCCATGAAAAATGTTTTTCATGCCTCTCAGCATTGGAATAGGGCTACTGTAACAGAGATGACTGGATGAAATTAATGAACATTCTGAAGCTAGTAACTTTGGCTACGTCTAGACTACATGCCTCTGGCGACAGAGGCATGTAGTCTAGACGTAGCCACAGTGTAACATTTTTCAGAACTGCCTCTGGGACAAAGGAATCCAACTTACTGTACACTTTCAGAAGTCACTTAGCCTTTAATATCCCCATTTTCCTAGAGTAAACTCTTTTCAGTGATTTGTTTGTTTGGGTTTTTTTTTTTAAGTTACAAGTTCATCTTACATGTGCAAGCCAATTGTCAAATGATAATTTAAGGAGGTTGTCTTTCATATGAATTTGTTCAGATGGCCTCTTGGGTGCTTAAATATCAATATGAACTTTGTTCGGTTAAGAATCCAAATTTGAAAGTTTGGTTTTACTTCTGAAAATTACAAGGGATTATAAAGGTTTGGAAGCATGGCATTGTCTATTAAATACTGCTGATGAAACTATGATGAGTAAGGGAAAATCTAAGTAAAATATTTCTAGACTCATAAAAAACATCAATTGAAAGATTTCACACACATCCCTTCCTTCTCCAACTACAGGATATTGTGTCCAAGATGCTTCATGTAGATCCTCATCAGCGCCTAACAGCAATCCAAGTGCTCAGACACCCGTGGATAGTGAACAGAGAATATCTCTCTCAAAATCAACTCAGCAGACAGGATGTTCACCTGGTGAAGGTAACACAGCATTTACTTCCTGATAACTTTCTTCCTGAGTAACAGTGAAAAGGGGATTTGTATTAACGTCTTGGAGATGCAGGAAATAAGGGGGTTATTTTCAAATGAGCCCAAAATATAGCATTACATTAAATATAAAGCTTTTACACCCAGCATCTGCTAGGTACTGTATAACTTTTTCCTGTGTTATGAGCTACTTTGAGTGTGTGCGTGCGCACCAGTGCCCCTTGGTGGGTGGAACTGGAACCACTCAGCTGTATGCCAGGCCCTATGGTGTTAACATCTTCTTTCTCTCTGTGGTAGGAACTAGAAAAGGGAGGGATATAATGAAAACTTATTTTAAGTCCGCTGTTTTCTCTTTTACAGGGTGCAATGGCAGCCACGTACTTTGCTTTAAACCGAACGCCTCAGGCACCAAGGCTGGAGCCTGTATTGTCCTCGAATCTGGCTCAGAGGAGGGGCATGAAAAGACTTACCTCAACACGGTTATAGCAGTGCCCAAAAATGCCTCATTGAAAACCTACAGTTTGTTATCCAACAGGTTCATCTTTATTACTCAGTTAACAGAACTTTGGGCAACTTGCACATGAAGTCACTGGAATCAGCAAAGTCCAGCATAAGGAAAAGTTATCCTTTGCTGTTTTATTTCTTTTACATTTGAGCCAGGATCCTGAATCAGCAGCTTCTCAAAGATGTGCCAATTGCCCTATTCCTTACTGACTTAAAGCCAAATAAAATAGGTACCCTGCCAGCCCCAGGTACTATTTTTAGAATCCTCAAGATGTTCTATGAGAACACTTAAAAAAAAAAAAAGCACTTTCCACAGTGAAAGCAAGCAGCTTGGATTAAAAGTTTTCAACTGTGGCTAGCATCTGCATAACGGTGAATTGGCTCAACCTGTCAGTAGTCTATATCGACTGATCATCAGCTGCATTGAAGCCCATCTCAAAGGGACTGAAGGTTGGGGAGATATGGTGCCAAACACCAGACTTCAAACAAATGCTGTACAAAGTGAAGGAGAAAGAGCTCTCTCTGATGAGCACATCTTCAGATTCTGAGATGACTTGTGAGCCCTCCCACTCTCATTTGATGTTGGTTAAGGTATGGAACACAGTGACATCTCCCTTCCGAGGAGGTGTCGGAAGCCGTAACGCAGATTTGGCACAGAACTCTAGGAACTGCAGTCTTCAAAAAGGATTGTTAGGTTTCATGTCACTGAGGAGTTCAGATGCATGTCCAAGAATATAATAAGTAGGGTTGGATCTTGTGGCTCAGAGAGGAAGTATGCAGACCTGAGAAAACAAACTGGGGTTGGTTGGTGGGATAGAGCCAGGAAAAGACATGGGAGACTCCGAGGAAGGGTATTGGTAGAAGGAAGTAGCTTGGACATGACAAGTAAGAGGGGTGTTAGTTGGGGGAGGGGGGAGGAACTAGATCTTTCAGCAAGGGTAGCAGGAAATCCCTTACTGAACAGTTGATTTAGCCCCAGCTGGATTCAACAATCCATTAGTATATCTCCCTCTAGGCCTTTTCCTAGGTCTCTTCCACCAGCCCTCCTGTTCATTTCCTAAGTCTGCTACTCTGGACAGATCAACCTTAAAGCATTTCTCCACTCCTCTAGGATCCCCCTTACATAGTCTTGGCTTGTCACCTGTCACACTCCTATAGACACAAGACACACACCAGTTCCTCCCTGGTTCCCTGCTTTTAAAGAACCAAGCCTATTATGCCTAGGCTCACAGTACTCTAAAGAAGCCACCTGATTCTTAGAAGGTATTATAATATTAATGCAGGACACTCTGCTATACAAGACAAATCAATCATGTTCTGCTATCTTGGTTTTCCAGGTAAAGGGAAAGAAAACCACCCAAAAAGTCTTAGTAAAACAAATCTTTTGCATTTCCTGACTTCAAAAGAAAATGGGCAAGGTTTGTAATGCTGGACTTCAGACTTTTTTTATTCCTTTTCTTATCCATGTTGATTCTCGGTCACAAGTTGGCCAGGGTTGTTAATTTATAGTGCTTCTGTTAATTTTTGGTTTTCAAGTGAATTTCATCACTTCACATGCTTTGCAGGAGCAAACAAGATTCTATGTTGGCTTTTATTTTCTGTCGCAAAAGGTTAAAAGAAAAAATGTGAACATGGAGCTTTATATCCTAGAAGTGGTGATTATTTTGCTGGGTAGCTACCCTGCGCATCTTAAGACTCAACTGGACTGAGCAGATTCACACTCTTTGCAGCAGTGTGTCCAGGGGAACAAGGAGCTGCATTAACTACAGCAATGCGCTTCCTAGAATTACATTTTCCACTGGCGTTCTGAATTGTTTGTTTGTATTAGTCTATTTTAAAATTTATAAACTTAATTTAAAATCAATATTTAATGTTTTATGTGCTGTGCACACGGGACTGCATCAAAGCAGCTCTCCTTGAAGCTGTATTTTTTTTTTTTTTTAGAATAAAACAATGCTGTGAAACATCGCAAGGTGAATGAATTGGCTCAACTTTGTGTCCTTCTATTATATAAACATACATATGTACAAACCATTTTCCAGCCAAGCTGCACTTGGGACAGGACCAGGCATGTCGGTTTTATGCTCCCCTTATCAAAAGAGCCCAACCACCCAGCTTTCAACAGCCTTGAGGGGATTTCTGGGGCATAAAGATGCCCTATCCAACACACCCTTTTTTTCTGGGAAAGATTCTGGAATAGGCATATGAAGTTGGGGGTACAGAGTCACTACAGCAGTTGTTTGCCACCAGAAATTCTGCATACACATGGGATTGAGGGAACTGGATCTACTGGGTCCTCTACTTGCTTTGTGCTGTTTGAGCAGACTCAAGAAGTAAGCCTTGTGTGTAAGTGTATTGTGTATTACAAGGGGCCCAGTGTGTCTCTCCTAAGGATGCCTATTGATCTTGCAATGCTGTCATTTCCCCCTCTATTCAGAGAAAGATGAAATCTTTATCCCCCTTTGATAAGATGAAAAGAGTGCAGAAGGCTAAAACTTAACACTTCACTTGGCCCACTCAACTTCATACAAGCACTGCTTGTGGTCCTGCTTAGGGATGTGGTTCTGATCTCAAGTATATGAGAATAGTTCTCAACTCCAAATTATCCCCAACTTCAGGTGTAAAGAATGTGCTCAACTATGAAAGAATGTTAGCTTGCACTAATTATTTTGCTTTATAAGCTCAGAAATAAGGTTTAATAATGTTTGCCTACTAGGGTTTTGCTGTCAGTGCATCCAAAAATACATAAATTCCAATTTATCCAGACTTATGCAGTGTTTCAAGTGATATTATATTGATGAGAACTCTATACTGAGCCTTAAAAGTGAAGTAATCTCAGGTAAAGTGGCAATACCCATTATCACTAGGGTTGCCAGATGGTTTCAACAAAAATACCCGACACGCTTGACATTATATCACAATCTACATTACATCTTATTTAGAAAATACTGGACACTTATATTTTCTCAATTTGTTTCCTGAACAGAAAGCTCAAATACTGGACTGTCCAGTTCAAAACTGGACAGCTGGCAACCCTAATTATCACTACTAGAGTGACTTTTTTATGCCAGCGTTTTCCTTTATAGACTCCTAGACACAAAGCTTTATAGCTCAGCAATAAACACTTTTTCTAGGAGAAAGTTTAATACACAAGGCATAGCTTATTTTTTTAAAAACTATGGGACATTAATAGCATGTAAAAACCCATTATTTGAGTGGGATTAGAAGTTTTTTGGAGTCCTATAAATATAAAATTACTGACCTAGAAGAGACCTGATCACAAGGGTTCTTTGTTGGCCTTTGAAGTTATAACACAGTAATAAGGTTGCCAGATGATTTAACAAAAAATATCGAACACCCCTCCCCCCACCACCAAAAAAAAACAAAACACACCACACACCAGGAAAAAATGAAGGGGAGCCGAAGTTGTTAAGCAAAAGTTGCACCACTCCCTTCAGTTTGGGACCACACACTAGCTATCAATGCACTCTCCCCTCCCCGAACCAGTCCCCCCAGTTTCCCCATCCTAATGCACTCATCCCTGCCTCAGACCCAGGCCCCCTTAGCATTCCCCCCCAGAACACTTCCTCTGCCCTGAGGCAGGCATCCCCAGCGTCAGGAGCACCGGCTCCAATCAAATCTCTCTTCTCCCACCTGCAGAGCCAGGCATGGAGGAACAATTTGACTCTTAAAAGTGACTCCTCCGGCCGGCCGCCTCAGCTCGCATTGTAGAGAGAGGGAGGCATCACGTGGCCAGCTCCTGGTCTCTGCTGGTCACGTGGGCCAGAGCAGCGTGAGCTCTGCTCCCAGCCCAGCCCGGCACCCCCTACCATGGCGTCCAGCAACTGCCCTCTCCTGCCCCCGCTTCGCTAGACTCTGCCATGCTCCTCACTCCCCTGCTCCTGCCAGATGCAGCAGGGGAAAACTGTCCCCACTGGGCTTCTGTCCCAGGGAAACAGGAAATACCGGACATATGAAGTGTCGGGTATTTCCTGTTTTTTTTTTTAAACCGCACAGAGCCCGCGAATACCAGACTGTCTGGGTGAAAACCGGACACCTGGCAACCCTACATAGTAATGGCTAGTAGTTGGCAAAGACACTAGGCCACTCACTGAGCATAATGAAAAACCAAGTTAAATACAATAAACCATTCTAGTGTATAAAAAAGGTACAGTGCAATGTACACACAGTAAAATGTACCTACTAGGGCCCCGTCTGTTGCACTGCTAAGCAACTTTAGCTGTCATTTCAGATCAACACCTCCTCACAGTCTCAACACCTTGCATGCTTGGGCCTGATCTAGAAAAGCACAACTTCACAACTGGTTTTTACAAATACATTTTTAGAAGTTAAGCTAACTTAAGGGGCCAAATGTACAAAACCTGGTTTCTTTGTCAACATACAACTTGATCACACAGTCACCTCCATAATTTTTTTTTTTAGCACTAAGGATGACAATTGCACACATTTGCAAACACAGCAGAACCTTGATTTTAAAAACACCAACCTGATGAATGACCAGTTGTACAAGCCATTTTTCCTGATTTAGGGAAGGGGGCACATAAGAAAGGTGATGTGGATGAATAAGTCTACATGTCTTCATGTTCCAATGCACAGGAAATTGCTTAGCAGTGATTTGAAGGACAAGGAGAAAGCCATGCAATGTGCCATACTGCACAGCATATAAACATCTCAAGATTATGACAGTGGTATGAACTCAGTCCCCCATCAGTTTAAGAAACAGAAGTCCTACCATGGAATCTATCCTGCTGCTCCAGAAAGCCTCTTAACTAGCTTGTGTAATAGCAACCCCAAGCTGGAATGGAGCTGGCTGGCTAAGTTTCTCTATCGCAACCAGTTTCAGACCAGAGGTCCACTGTGATCCAGCTATTCCTAGTTTTGAGACTGGACAGCAGGGCTTATGTTTGAGCAATTGATGGGCTGATTTTGAAATGCATATTAAATCTTGTGTTTTGGAGCTTAAGCCAATCTCAGATCAGGATGAGACTCTGGTGGAGGGCAGATCATCTGTCTACTATAGGATTCTTACACCTTTTGAAGCATCTGGTACTGGCTACTATCAGACTGGATATTGGACTAGATGGATCTTGGGTCTGAACCAATGTCAGAGGTGCTATGACTTAAGGTATTCCAGGAATTAAATCAGTCCCTAGGCTAAACCCAACTACCAATTTGGAAGTGCCAAAAAGGGGCTTAGAGGTTCCTATGCTCTCCTTTTCACTTTGAATAAAGCAAGGCTCAGATACAATTCAGAAAACAAAACCAAGGATTTTTTTTTAATGCAGAAGGAATTTGAGCGTGCAAGGTTGTGTGCACAGAAATGGTGGTTGAGGTCTCCTTGAAAAGGTTCACCCTCACATCTAACACACCAAGAAAAAAAATAGGGGTGAAATGGGAAATAAAAGAAATTGCTAAAGGCTAGCTATTTATTGTAACTCAAGGCCAAATCCTGCCACCCTTAATAGCCACAGTACCTTCCTCTGCAAGTAGCCCCTATGAAGTCAATGGGACAACTCACTGTGCATCTGAATGGCAGAATCTGGCTCTTAGGAAATAATGCGAGTGAGGAGTTTTCTCTTAGTATTTGATAAATTAGCCAAAGTATAAACCATAATCCAGCATTTTCTTTACAGGCTCCATATTCATGTTTCCAAACACTTTAAGTTTCCTGTTTGCAATGAGCAGCCAATGCAGATGTATTATGCTTATCAGAAATTCTGAATATTTTTCTATACATGGTTTTGTAGAGTTTTTATAGCACTAGGATGTTTGGATTTCCTATATGGTTACATAGAACAGATAAGCTTTGTGCTTCCTTCTTTCTGTGCTCTGTACCTGAGTTGCTGCAAGCAAGCTACTAACACTGCAGGCCTCAGCGACTGCCACGGGGCAGCAAGTTGATAAGAGTACTATGAAACTGTCTGAACGAGGCTTCAAAGCGGATGTGATTGTGCAGAAGGGCTGGATGCATGATGGGGAACACTGGCAGGGGAAAGTGGTGAGATGTATTTGAAAGGGCAAGAGTTTACTGTGACAGACTCCTGAGGAGAAACTGATTTTGGCTTATCATGCCTATTCTTTCTGAAACTGATCAGCGGCTGACTTGGGGACGCCTGGGGCAGAGCAGCTGGGGTGCTGCTGGGTTGGTCCCTTGTACTCCTCTTTCAGCTCTCTGTCTTTGCCGGACCTCTTCTGCACACAGCTTGTTTGTTCAGAGACAGAGCCAGAACAATCCCCACTTACAACCTGTCAGTCAGGCTGAGCTGGAGTGTTGACTGCTTTCCATTGTCTCTGGGGTCTGTCAGTCTCATGAACCCTTCCCCTTCTGAAGCTGGTAAACCAAAAAACTCCCACAGAGTTTTAGTAAGGGGTAACAGTCCCCTTACATGTGCAACACAAGCTGTTCTGGGGGTGACCAAACCTTTAAAATTGTGCTCCCTACACACTATCAGCAGCCACTGTGGAGTGTGTTCCCAGTGGAGGCCATGTTCAAAGGATCCTACCCACAGGCCACATGTTGAATAGCCCTGATCTAGATCATCCCTGATAGATGTCTATCCAGCCTGCTCTTAAATATCTTCAGTGATAGAGATTCCACAACCACCCGAGGCAATTTATTCCAGTGTTTAACCATCCTGTAAGTTAAGAAGTTTTTCCTAATGTCCAACCTAAACCTCCCTTGCTGCAGTTTAAGCCCATTGCTTCTTGTTCTAGCCTCAAAGGCCATGAAGAACAATTTTTCCTCCTTCTCCTTGTGACACCCTTTTAGATACCTGAAAACCGCTATCATGTCCCCTCTTAATCTTCTCTTTTCCAAGCTAAACAAGCCCAGTTCTTCCAGTCTTCTTTCATAGGTCATGTTCTCTAGACCTTTAATCATTCTTGTTGCTCTTCTCTGGACCTTCTCCAATTTCTCCACATCTTTCTTGAAATGCAGTGCC